CATTATAACTCTTCTATTAGCTCTTCTTGCAAAAAGTTAAAATTAAAACCACAGAGTGGCTTTACCTTCCAAATCAAAAATACCAGCCATGGGAGAGGTTGATCCAGCTTTCATTCAAGACCCTGAGCACAGGCCAAAACTCTCCATAATTGAAGCTGAAGGCATACCATTGATTGATCTTTCTCCTATAAATAGTATCCCTGCCTCAGATTCCATTTCTGAACTTAAAGCCATTGAAGGGCTTGTTAGAGAAATAGGCAGTGCTTGCAAGGACTGGGGTTTCTTCCAAGTGATCAACCATGGAGTCGCGTTGGATAAGCGCGAAAAGATTGAGACAGCTGCTAGGAAGTTCTTTGCTCAGCCCTTGGAGGAGAAGAGGAAGATTAGGAGGGATGAAAAAATTGTGGTGGGCTACTATGACACTGAGCACACCAAGAATGTTAGAGACTGGAAGGAGGTGTTTGATTTCGTAGCGGAGAAGCCTAAATTAGTCCCAGCTTCCCCTGATCCTGAGGACAAAGAAGAGACAGAGTGGATAAACCAATGGCCTGAGAATCCTCCTGAACTAAGGTACCTCAATCTAAGAAATTGCTGAGCAACCAACCAAAGGGTCAATTACATTTTTTATGTTCCTGTAATTCCAAAATCACCTTTGAATTATAATGTGTATCAAGTAAAGAAATGCTAGCTTTCTCACTTGGTAACTTAACTGTTTGTGCTGTAAGAACCCTGCATTGAAGTGTTAAACATAAATTTTGGAACCTGATTTATATATGAATATGATCTAATAGCTACACTGCATGCCTTGACCAGACCGGCGTGTGAAGAGTATGCTCAAGAAGTAGAAAAGCTAGCTCTGAAGTTGATGGGACTTATAGCCTTGAGTCTAGGCTTGCCAGAAGACAGGTTCAACAGCTACTTCAAAGACCGAACAAGTTTTATCAGACTCAACCACTATCCACCTTGCCCTTCCCCTCAGTTAGCTCTCGGTGTTGGGCGCCACAAGGATGGTGGTGCATTAACCGTGCTAGCTCAAGATGATGTTGGAGGATTGGAAGTGAAGAGAAAAACAGACGGGGAGTGGATTCGGGTGAAACCTACCCCAAATGCCTATATCATCAATGTTGGTGATGTTATTCAGGTTCCACTCTTCATAGTACTTATGTTCAGATTACTTTTGAAAGTTGTTACTGGCCAAGCTTGCTTTCCACTTCTAACAGCATAAGAACCTAAAAGGACACACACACACACACACCAATCTAGATCTAGAACATAATCACACCAACCTACAGGATATGTTAATTAGTCAATACACGCTATATATTGTTGTGCACATAACAAAGAGATGTTTATACAGGTTTGGAGCAATGAGAGATATGAGAGTGTGGAACACAGGGTGATGGTGAACTCAGAGAAGGAAAGGTTTTCCATTCCCTTCTTCCTCAGCCCAGCACACTACACACAAGTCAAGTCCTTGGAGGAGATGACCGATGAACGAAACCCTGCCAAGTATAAGCCCTACAGCTGGGGCAAGTTTATCACACACAGAAAGCTCAGTAATTTCAAGAAACTCAGTACTGAAAACATCCAGATTTATCATTTCAGGGTATCGGAATAAGTTTGGAGTACAAGGAGTTTTGCTAAGTGCTACTATTGTTATTTTAGCTCCCTGTGCATACCGTGCTGTATATCGATTCAGAAAATAATGCATTGTTGTATAGAGAAGTGACCTGTGTGTAACTTCTGAAACATTGTGTGGTTAATGTGTCACTAAGATCAGTAATATAATTATCTACAAACATTTATTTTGCTTCAACAATGAGAACGCTCTGGGTATTGATTAATTTGTGACATTGGCTGTTTTGGGTTCTTTAGGATGAATGAACTTACTAACCTGCTAAAATCTATCTCAATCCCATCCCACATTTAAAATTTTTTTGAATTGCAGTACAATTTAGAAAGAGCTACCACTTAATTAATCCATTTATGGACAGTTCCTTTTCTGACGTGGGACAATTGTATTTGATCCACCATTCCTAACATAAGCACACACTGTCACAACCTTCCAAATCAAAACCTTGCAGCACCTACTATTCTCAAACTACTAATTGACAAGAACCCATCCAGATAAAACTTCAACCACTCACATTAAAAAACCTACCATTCTTCTATTAGCTTTCTTGCAAAAACAAACAACAAAATACCATTGAGCAGGCTTCCAAATCAAATTCACCATCCATGGGAGAGGTTGATCCAATTTTCATCCAAGACCCTGAGCACAGGCCCAAACTCTCCGTCACCGAAGCTGAAGGCATACCATTGATTGACCTGTCTCCCCTAAACTCCTCAGACAAAATTTCTGACCCTAAAGCCATTGAAGGGGTTGTTAGAGAAATAGGCAATGCATGCAAAGAGTGGGGGTTCTTCCAAGTGATCAACCACGGGGTTCTCTTGGATAAGTGCAAAAAGATCAAGGCTGCTGCTAGGAAATTTTTTGCTCAGCCTTTGGAGGAGAAGAGGAAGATTACGAGGGATGAAAAAAGTTTGTTTGGTTACTATGACACTGAGCACACCAAGAATGTAAGAGACTGGAAGGAGGTGTTTGATTTCGCAGTGGAGGAGCCAATGTTAATGCCAGCTTCCCTTGATCCTGAGGACAAGGAAGAGACAAAGTGGACTAACCAGTGGCCTGAGTATCCTCCAGAACTAAGGTAACTCAATGATCACTAAGAAGAACATGCTTATTTTAGGTAATCATATGATTATACAAAGATGAAAACAAAAAACAGAGAAACAATAAAATGGTTAAAGAAATCTAGAACACCTGTGATTCATAATGAAAATGCTTAGGAGCCAATCAAAGAACACTAGCTCTTAAAGGGTTAAATACAAATTTGGAACGTGATCACTTATATGATCTAATAACTAGACACTGCATGCTTTGAGCAGGGTGGCATGTGAAGAGTATACTGAAGAAGTAGAAAAGCTAGCTCTAAAGTTGATGGGACTTATAGCCTTGAGCCTAGGCATGCCAGCAGACAGGTTCAACAACTACTTCAAAGATCAAACAAGTTTTATGAGACTCAACTACTATCCACCTTGCCCTTCCCCTCAGTTAGCTCTCAGTGTTGGGCGCCACAAGGATAGCGGTGCTTTAACCGTGCTTGCTCAGGATGAGGTCGGAGGATTGGAAGTGAAGAGGAAGAGAGATGGAGAGTGGATTCAGGTTAAACCTACCCCAAATGCCTATATCATCAATGTTGGTGACATTATTCAGGTTTCACTCTTCAAACTTCATACTAAGTACTTGTGTGCAGACTATTTTTCAAAAAACTTTTTTGAACCAAGGTACCAATTACTACTGTAGGGTAGCAATTTTAACACTCGCATTTTGCACAATTGCGTTTAGCTCCTCTACTTATTTTTATACTTTCATTCTCCATTTTATGCAGGTTTGGAGCAATGACAGATATGAGAGTGTGGAACACAGGGTGTTGGTGAATTCAGAGAAGGGAAGGTTTTCCATTCCCTACTTTGTCAACCCAGCACACTATACCCTAGTCAAGCCCTTGGAGGAGCTGACCCATGAACAAGAAGACCCTGCAAAATATAAGCCTTACAGCTGGGGCAAGTTTTTGAGTCACAGAAAGCTCAGTAATTTCAAGAAACACAATGCTGAAATATCCAGCTTTATCATTTCAGGGTTTCGGAATAAGTTATGACCCTCCAAAAGAGAAAGACGTGTGCTATCCTTTACAATAATTAGTCTATGTACACAAAAATAATTGTGGGCTAACATGGATTTCTTACAAATTTTTACATAGTCGAAGGCAAATTTGAACGATGCTATATGTACCATATTTACTTACCGCATTGTATACCAGATTTATAATAAAAGTGTGGATCCACTCACAAACACTATTAAATATGTGGCTTACAAGTTACAACATAGTACTGGACAAACTTTGCAGGTGATATTGGTAACATCACAAGGATTCCCAATGTTGGGAAGCATACAAAAGTCTTTGTACATATGGTCACACTGGTTGGCTAGTGATGACTCAGACCCAGCATTAGCAGTTATGTAGTGACCCTCCCACCAAGCCAAAAGCATCAACATAAGCCAAAACCAAAAGGCTACTTTCTTGGCTTTGAGTTCTATTAAATATGTGGCTTACAAGTTACAACATAGTACTGGACAAACTTTGCAGGTGATATTGGTAACATCACAAAGATTCCAAATGTTGGGAAACATACAGAAGGCTTTGTACATATGGTCACACTGGTTGGCTAGTGATGACTCAGACCCAGCATTAGCAGTTATGTAGTGACCCTCCCACCAAGCCAAAAGCATCAACAAAAGCCAAAACCAAAAGGCTACTTTCTTGGCTTTGAGTTTTTTTCTTTTACAGGACAAAAGGTGGAAGCTTTTACAAGTGCTCTCTACCTTGGCTTTTGAGATCCCCATATCTGAGAGTTTTTTTCACTTGGGGGGTGTTTACTCACCAATCTCAATTGAGTTCTGGTTTAGTTCTAAATAAGCTTATTTTCATCCAATCAAAGGATATCAAGTAAAACCATATTGCTGCTCTGGCAAACCTCAAGTTTGCAAACCATAAGAGGAAAAGAATAGGGTACAAAAACAAGCCAACTAGTGAGAAAATCTAACACTATATTGTTAGGAAACACAATATTTTATATGAAAAATGGTACAAAAATAAGTACACGAGTTACTTTGTTGCTCAATGTAATATAAATTGTGGTCATTCATAAACAGAGTCCCAAAGGCAAGTAATAGGACATATATCATCAATACTTGGTTGTCATTATAGAACTGGAAAGTTTCAGGTAACATTATCAAGAATGCTATTAATAATAACCAACACATATAGCCCAAGTTAAGTATATACAATCAAAAAGAGGTTCTTAGAACATGTGCATCTACTGAGAATGAACCTTAAAAGCTAGATAATGGGAATCTAGAACAACATCTGCCCATTTTTGTTTCAAAATCCCAGTTTCTCTCTCTCTCCTTCCCACAATCTGGTAAAATGAACATAGGATCATATGACAGAAGCAGAGTGATAACTCCTTTTCCAGATTCTAATAACTATATGCTTGCAAAAGCATTATATTCTAGGAAGCCTGATACAAAAAGGTGGAATGCTGATGAGAATGGACTTAACTTGTCTACCATGGATCTTCAAACTGCATTATGATATTCGTCCATTGTTTCTTTCATTGCATCCAACTGTGACATGACATATTCCAGTTTCTTGCAACAGATTTCATTAGCTACTCTTGAACTGTAATCACACTTCTCAAACGGACGGTAATCGCATGCACTTTTAATTTCATCCCGCAGTGCCACTTGAATATCCTGATTCACAAAAGAAACAAATATTCCAAAATAAGAACTTAGAGTAAGAATAATCTCATTACCAAAAAGAATAATCCATCCAATTAATCAACCTTCTCACTGAGACCAAAACATTTTGCACCAGAAAATATTTCCATACCAAAATAAAATTAGACCAAAAAAATTTATACTTAAATGAAATTAGTATGGTCCTTGGTTAAATTTACATTATTGATCCAAAATTCAATATAGCATCCAAACCACTGAATCAAATATACTCCTAATTCAATTCTAGACTATTAAAAGCACAACTTTCTTGAACCCCAAAACCCTCGTCCCAAAATTTTCCCCTGATAACATTACAAATGCCAAATCTGCAATCTACTTCCAGGCAGAGTTCAATTTTTGGGTCCCGTTAGCAAATCTCAAATTCAATGACAGCTGCACAATTACAGAATTTTTTTTTTTTCGGTTACAGATTACAGAAATTTTCAGCTATATAAAAACACATATATGTATGGATGCACAAACACATGATATACCTAGCTACGACCTTGATTAGCAGAATAAAACAAAAGACAGACCTTGATCAATTGCATGAACTCGCGGCAATGGTTGTTGATAAACTCCTTTCTGGGACCACTAGGGTTTGCAAGCTCATCCATGACACCTCCAGCTAGCTCCAAAACCTTAACGATTCTCTGCGCAATCAAGCAAAAAAATTCTTATTATAGATATAGTCGGTTCCTAAAGGCAATTACATTTCAGTATTTCATTGCTTACCTTCTCCACATTTTGAAGCCTCTGCAGCGAGGTGTTCTGGGTCTGCGAATCCATGGGGTTCATCTACGTTTCTGTTTAAGAGAAAGTTCATAAGTACCATAGTATTGCAGAACCAACACCATGTGCCATAAATTTGGGAAGGAGAGAACAAATTCCCAGGAGCTGGGATGCTTTTCTAACTCAAAGCATAGAACTAAAAATCAGTGTTTTTAAAGGCATGCCTTCGCGCTCGTCGGCGAGCGCGTCGGAGCGAGGCGGCAGGAAATCGCCCGAGGCGGTCAGCTGTTTCGCGAGTTGCACGTTTAGCGCGGGGAAGGCGTAAGGAGCGTTGCAAGGCGAGCCAGATCTGGACACTTCTGAAACGGAAGAAATTTTGCGAGTCTGCAAATTAGCTGCGACTCTGCGAGGAAGACGACTCACGCGTCTGGTTTTTAGGTTTATTGTTATGAAACGACGTCGTTTCGATTGCAGTGTTTTAACTTTAAATGAAACGACGTCGTTTCACTTGGAGTGTTCTGAAAAAAAAAAAGCCTAAGTTTCTGTTTTTTTTTTTATTTACCTTAATTGTAATAAGGCAAGAAGAATTAATATCTTTCTTGCCTTTTCTAAATCCAGCCGGCTTCTACTTACCAATTTTTTTTCTTTTCTAAATTAATATATTAACATATGGACTTATATTTTATCTATATATATAAAGCAAAAGGCAGATAATGGAAAAAGATTCAAAATACCAGAAAATGCCTTTGGTTAATGCAAACATTAAGAATTGAAATTATTAATTAAATAAGGATAATATGGTAAATTCAGACCTTTTTCATATTAAAAAAATTTAAAATTTAAAAAAAATCATATAATAGATCATCTTTTTATGGAACACAACTACCCATTATCTTTTTTAATTCTAAAATATTTTTAAATTTTTTTTTAAAAAAACCTCTTGCAGACGCGGAAACGCTTGCGGAGAGGCTAGTATATATAAAGCAAAATGTAGAGAATGGTGAAACATTCAAAATATCAAAAAATGTCCTTGGTTAATTCAAAAATTAAGAATTGAAATTATTAATTCAATGAGGATAATATGGTACAAATACCCATATGCTTTGATGAAATGTTATTCGCTCAATCCAAACATTTAATATATTTGTTATGACAATGCAATCACTGACAAAAGGGAAAAAACCAAAAAAATCACCAACAATCAAAGTAAAAGCATACATATCAACAAAAACCAGAGCAAGAACATATAAATCAAGCACATCAAACTCCCAGTAATCACAAAATAAACCAAAACATCAAGAAAAAAACCAAAACAAAAGCACATATATAAATCAATAATACTTGTTGGAGATTGGAGATTATTTTCTTTAACGTGTGTGAAGATTTAACTTAACAAAAACGAAAAGCAAATTAAACCCTAGAAATTAAAGAGAAAAAGGAAAGAATAAGAAATTGAAAACTATATATATATAAATAAAATTTTTAAAAAAAACCCTAGACTAAATTACCTGGGCTGTGGAAGAACTGCACCAACCAACAAGATCACTTAATGAAGAACGAGGGGAGAGAACTAACAGAAGCTCAGTGGAAGAAGAACGCAGAGAAGGAAATTCACGCATAAAATGTAAAACGGGTATCCAGTGGAAATTGTAAAAAGCCATGAGGGTAGTTTGGGTAGTTAGAAGACTCTAATTCAAATGATTTTCTCAGCTCAAATAAAGAGGCCACGTAATTAGATCCAAGGTTTTTTTGTTGTTAAGATTTTCTATTTAAACCTGGGAAATTCTATATGAACCCTATTATTTGCTCTTTACACCCCATAATTTCTGTACACCCCACTGAATTTTAATAAAATTTCAAATTACTCACTATACCCCCCTTTTTTTCTTCCTAAATTGCCCTTATGAACCTCATTCCCTAACTCACTGTGTAAACCCCATCCCATATCAGACACCACCCATCGAAAACCCCTTTCCTTTCAGACACACCCCATCTGATATCAAAACCCACCCCATCCCATATCAAGCCCCACCCCATCGAAAATTCCCTCATCTTGCAGACACACCCCATTGCACACCCCATCAGATTTACAACAAGCTTCACCGCACACCCCATCCCCTTTGAAACAGAGCCATCGCACAATCTCTGCAAACCATCGAACCCCATCGCATAACCCATCTCTGCAAACCTGAACCCATCGCACAACCCATCACTGAAATAGAGCCATCACACCCCACAGCCGACCCCAAACGCCTCATCCCGTTGCAAACCACCATCGCCTCAACCATCTCAAACATCCATCACCAATCTGTCAAGTTTTCACAAATTCTTCCAAGAGCCAAGTATGATTTTAGTTTTGATTTCTATATTTACGTTTCTAAGTGTTGATTAAGCCTAGGTTTGATTTCACTTTTGAAAAGCCAAAGTCTGATTTTAATTTTTTGATTTCAATTTTGTGGGTATATGGTTGGTTCGAACCTGATTTTACGAAATTGGATTTTAGTTTCGATGGATTACCACCGAATTGGTTACATTGCTTCAGTGGTAGTCCACTGAATTTGAACCTGATTTGTACTAAAATTAATTTTACTTTTGGTGGGTTACCATCGAAATCGTTATCTTGTTTCGGTGGTAGTCCACCGAACCTGATTTGTACTAAAATTAATTTTACTTTTGGTGGGTTACCATCGAAATCGTTATCTTGTTTCGGTGGTAGTCCATCGAATTTGTTTCCGTTTTTCAGTGATCATCTATCGAATCCGTTACTGAGTGTGTACTTAATATTGTTTTTTTAGATATGAAGAGGACTCGTAGAGGTACTATTGAGGCTTCATCATCTTGACCTGATAGATAGCGTCCTACAACCTCAACGAGGAGACAGAGAGTGGCTCCCCAGGATCACTTTGAGAATACTACAGAGGTTGAAGATGTACCTCCTACTCATGATAGTAATGTTGACACAGAAGTTGAAGATGTAGCTGCTACTCATGATAGTAATGTTGAGGTACATGCCAAGCCTACTGAGTCATCTTGAGTAGGTCCCATTGATCCATCTTTACTTACGAGTTTTAAAACTCACATAGCAACTGCAATTCGGAATAACCAGGTAAGTCGTTTTACTGTGACAATAGAAGGTAGAATATAAGTCTGGTTCATGGTAATTAACCTTTTTTTTTTTTTGTGTGTATTTAACTAGGAACGTGAGCCACTGGCGGACCCAGAAATTTTTTAGCGGAGGTGCAATATTGACTAAGTATGAAAAATGGTTTTTTGGAATAATCATTTTCTCAAGATAATTTTTGGCGGCTTTTGTTCCTCACACATCAAATAAGAAAACTTGATTTTATGTGATTTTAGTATGAAGTATATATTGACTTAATGAGCCATCATTTTTAGCCTAAATCGTATTTTGCACTAAAACTGAATTTTCATATTTTGATTTGGTGGGAATTTGATTTTCTAGTATTTTTATTTGAATCCAAATGGGGGGTACTTCCTTATTTACATTGTAAACTTAAGTAAATGGAGTAATATAAAAATAAATAAAAGTAAAAGGACAAAGACATTTACTTAAATGTTGAAGATGGAAATAAGGCAATCTGTACACCAGTTGAGCAAAGGGGCAATTTCAAGCACCTACAATGGTTTTTCCAATGAGGGGAGGTGCAGCTGCACCTCCTTGCGCCTTAGTAGGTCCGCCTCTGACGTGAGCCCCTTAGGTGCATGTTGAAGACATACCATTCTTGAGTGGAATTGGTGGGGTAATCCAAATAATGGTATATTCAAAGGGTACATTTAGAGATCTGGATTAGAGTAACTTATTAGGTATTCTTATCGGAATGCAGATAAGATTATGATATCTACATTTGTTGAGAGGTGGCATCCCGAAACGAACACCTTTCACATGCCGTTTGGTCAACAATAAATATTATACGTGAGCATCAAATCATTCGACCACAATGATTCTAGAAAGATTCAACATTTGAAAATTTGCTCTCACCATCGTTGCGATTTGTCAAAGCATTTGGCATCAGCAACCTTGATAGTAAGAGACCAAAATGCTTGTTTATTGAAGAACTAACAAGTCTTTTGAGATACAATTTTAAATTGAAGTCAAAATTCAATGAAAGGAAAAAAAAATGGGTCAAAACCTAACCCTATCAGTACTTTTAAATCCAATAAATAATATGGAGACATATACAAACAATGAATATATATTTCCCAATCAAATTGGGGTGACCAAACCAGAAACATAAACACATGGATCAAAGAAAGAAAGTTTTGATCAAATCAATCTCTACTTTGCTGATCATTCTTCTCTGTGCAGCAAATATAACAGAATCAGAGCCTACAAACCCTAGCAAGAAGCAATTTGTACTGGTTCATGGTTCCTGCTTTGGTGCTTGGTCATGGTACAAGCTTGTGACCTTAATGAAGTCATCTGGTCACAATGTCACTGCCCTAGACCTAGCTGCTTCTGGGGTTGACCCTCAGCAGGCAAAAGATCTGCATTCAATTTCTGACTACTTCAAGCCCTTGACGGATTTCATGGCAGCTCTTGATCCTCCACATGATAAGGTCATCCTTGTTGGTCACAGTCTCGGTGGGTTGGCCATTTCTTATGCCATGGAAAGATTTCCAGATAAGATATCTCTAGCTGTTTTCGTCACTGCCTTAATGCCTGGCCCGACCCTCAACATCTCCAGTCTTAATCAAGGGGTAAGTATTACTTTCATTAACTTACGTTGTTGAAAACTGCTTTGAAATAACTAAAAGTGTTTTTTCTTTTAATAACTTGCGGAAATGAACAAAAATACTTAATAAGAAATCACATAATCACTTTAAGCGCTTCGTAGAGAAACAATCATAAGACTTCGTAGAGAAACAATCATAAGACGCATGTGTTATTCACATAATGTGCTTCCAGTATTTTTCTTTTATATGCACATAATTTTATAAATATATATCTTTGAATTATTATGGGAAGTTCCTTGTCCTTTTATGCTGATTATATCTTTTTTTCTTTGATTTATTTTTCTCTTCTAATTGGAATTATAAAGTCGTTCGGAAGACAAGGATCTCTATTAGACAGCAAATACACATATGAACAAGGCCCAA